TTGAATTGTTAAAGTAATGAAAAAAAATTGTGTTGCCGGCTGTTGCAGAAAGCATCTAATTACAATAAAGAGATTTTGTATGATTGCCAATGACATAACTATCCATGAGAGACCAACTGATGTAAGTGTTAGTAGCTATTTGTCACCGTGTGGCCTTCAACTTAGAGCGAAACCCATAAATTATAACAAGCTTGAAAAGGCCCCGGCTTCAAAAAATATAAAATAGGTCAAACGAGAAAACCAACGAAATGATTTATGTACGAAGCAACAAATGAAAAACAAATATAATATACAGCAACAAACGGGAACCACTGAATTGCAGATTCCTGACATTGGGCAGAAGTAACTGTTGTTGTACTTGTTGAAGCATTACACATGATTCTTTATTATTGCATAAGGTATATGCTAGTTAAAGGGTAGAAAACGTTATATTGTATTTCCAAAAGGAGTTAGAAAATAACTAGATGTATCAGAAATGTATCATATGGGATGTGTACTGATAAGTACCATAGTCTGGAAGAACATGATTTATCTATTAGTTAAATTGGTGCGGCAAAATGTAATGAGTAACTTGGTTTTGAACTCAAATTACGGTAACTGCGAGTATTCTTATATCGGTGTTTTGTGTCTGTTGTTTTATGGTAGTTTTTTTTTCTGCTTCGTACCGATCTATTTAGTTAAGACCATTGTTGTGCTGTAACAGCACTGTCCCAGCGCTTGCCAACAATATTTAACCCCACCCCCAAATCAGGAGCCTGTAGTTGAGTGGTTTTCGTTGGTTCATGTCTGTCATATTTGGTTTTCGTAAATTGATTGATTCACATTTTTCATGTCGGAGCCTCTTATAGCCGACTATATGGTATATGTATTTCCATTGCTGAAGGCCATACAGTGACCTTTAATTCCTCATATCCACAACATTTTGTAGATGGTTGTTAAATTAGCCATTATACCACATCTCTTTATATTAATATAGTCTGAAAATCAAATTTTTTTACAGCCTGTTCTTGGTTGGGTTTTTTTTTACAGTGCACAATAGTATGCATGGTGAGACTGGATCAATAGTTAAATTCTGTCTTAGTTTTTTTAATAACATCCTTATAATATTCGGAAATTTCAATTAATAATTTTGTGATATTGGCGGAATTTTGTTTCATATGCATACTGCAATACTATTAAATGTCTAAGGGGAAGAAATCATTGTTTTAAACTCAACTGAAATAGGAATATGCGATGTACTACATAGAATAATAACTTCAAATTTCCTGGAAATGTTTCCCGGATGTGGGTAGTTTCTTTTATTATAAGATACTCCTCAAAGAAATTTATTTGTCGGGTTTATTTTGCTGCTGAAAAGTTTGGATTATTGTGTTCATCTATAAACCATTATAATAGGTGTAAGTCTATTGTCACTTCCTCTAAAGGCCAATCGCATTATAATTTCGATTGGTATACCAAACAAGGTAATTACGTGGTAAATGAAGCGTTACTTACTAATACTGTAATGGATAAATGATCAAAATAAGTAGATAAGTATACATAGCAACATAATTTTCTGCTGTGTTAAGTGTAATTAAATAAAATCGTAAAGAACGAATTAACAAACAAAAGTCAATCATAAGTCAACTGGTTGTGTTTTCAGAGATTTTGGTAGACTCTTAACAAAACGTGTTGCACTAACAAAAAACAAGTTTAATAATCTTTATAGGCGTATCCAGGGGGGAGGGCCTGGGGGGCCCGGGCCCCCCCCTTTCGTGGGAAAATTTGGTTGATTATATAGGGAATCACTGAAGCATGACTGGAGCCGGCCCCCCCTTAGGTCAGTCAGCGGGCCCCCCCTTATGAAAAGTTCTGGATCCGCCACTGATCTTATTTGCCTTTAGTTGACTTCCACACCAACTGCAGAAACACAAAAGGTATTTAACTTTTACATATCTAGATCTAAATATAGATCTAGGTGCTTTAGCAGTAGCACTGTGTTCTCGGTAAAATATGGAAATTATTAACTTTTTTTAAAAAATATTAAAGTAGTCAATTTCTATCCAAGTTCCGTACAAGTGATCACAATTTTGAGGTCGATATTAGAATAATTCCTAGTCGGGGTCTAAAAACTTGTAAAACATGTAAGATATAATTGATGAATTGCACTTTTTAAGGCATTGTCAAACCACTAAAAATATTAGAAATAATTTACTTAATATATAAAATTTTCAAAAGTAATATTTTCTACCCACTCGACTAATTCTCAGAGGTAACAAGAATGTGTCCATATTACACGGATGCCCCACTCGCACTATCATTTTCTATGTTCAGTGGACCGTGAAATTGGATTCAAAACTCTAATTTGGCATTAAAATTAGAAAGATCATATTATAGGGACCATGTGTAATAAGTTTCAAGTTGATTGGACTTCAACTTCATCAAAAACTATCTTGACCAAAAACTTTAACCTGAAGCGGGACAGACGGACGAACGGACGAACGGACGAACGGACGAACGAACGAACGAACGACGAACGAACGGACGAACGAATGTACGAACGGACGGACGCACAGACCGAAAAACATAATGCCCCTCTGCTATCGTAGGTGGGGCATAAAAATTATCACTAAATCCGATATAGATATTTAAAGATCCCCGAGTATATCAACAGCCCAGTAGCCAGTACTGGCATGAACATACGGATATTGTAAGATTGAAAAATTGCTATTATAAAATTTTAATAAATTACTTTAAATCAAGGAATATATCTCCCTTATGCAAAGATCTGATTTCTTGTCAAGACTTGACTGTACTTTAGATCCTTTTTGGTTTGACCAGCTCTTATTATTTGGTTTTGGATTTACAATTTTTTCGACCTGAAGAGACATTAATTGTCGAACTGCGCATCTGGTGCAGTAAATTTGGTACCGATGATGTAACAAGCACAGGTTTTTTGCATATACAAAGCAATTTTAACAATTACTTAGCAGCAGATTTAACAATTTTCATTTTTATATGTATTTCCGCCATTTTCGTTAAAATATTTAAACACATCATGTAAAATGATATGGTGGACATTTTCTTATTTACTCTACCACATTTGATTGCCTTATATTTATAGTTATTACTCAATTTATAACCTTTGTGTTTTTAGTACTTAAATAAAATTACCACTTAGTTTATTGGTTTTGAAGAATTAACGAATACATATCAACGATTGTGTATTCGTTGTGGAAAAAAGTACCACGTCACTTCAAATAGACAAGATAATTATTTATAAACCTGTAGCTTTACAACCACAGCGTTTTCGTTGATAATGTATTTTAAATTCTCAACTTTCCAGTACTATCATAAGTAATATAAAAAAACGGGAGGAAAGCATCGAAGTTGTTTAAGGTTCATGTGGACCCTTTGGCTTAAATTTTTTCACCTCAAAAGGATTAGGCCCGGTAAGACCCCTTTTTGACCCCAAAATATAACGTTTTTACAAAGTTGTAAAAAATGTAAACTTTTAGCTATTTATTGGAAAGTAGAATACTTTTCTTACATAAATATCGGTTGCTTTCGACAATACAATGGACATGCATCAGGTACTAGCACCATTATTTCATACAAAAATACTCTAATCTCAAATCTCAAATAAACAATTTTAGCATTTGTGCTATTTTTAATACGGTTTTTGTCAAAAATGGAAGTGGCCGCACTTGTGTTCAGTCTTAATATTTAAATATATGTTTTATTTAATGATAATACATAACATATAAAACAGTTGAAACTGAACACGATAGCGCCACTTCCATTTTAGACAAAAACCATCTGAAAAGTGACGTTTCATGGCATATTTGATAGATTTTTCATAGTTAAGCTTGAATTTGAGTGTCTTTAATGACCAAATCAGTTCAAATTTTCAATATAAACTAATTGAATCGACTGAAGTAGACACTTAAGTATTAAAAAAATGGTCAAAAGTCTTTCATCATATGTACTTCGAATTTTAGGCCAAAACCTTAATTCATATTTCCGTGTTCTCAAAATTCAGCATTCCCTGTAGAATATAAGGTCAATGTCAAAAAAGTAGTTCTTGAAAACTTTTATTATATTAAATTGATCACATAATTTGTCTCCTATTTTTTTTTAATCTTTTGTTTAATATATTATGTTTATGAATGTCTAAAAAATTAAAGTGACAAGTGTATTCTTTTTTTGTTTTGTCGATAAAAGTCATTTTAGTGGACTTTCTAATTTTTATAGCCATTTATGGGTCGATATATTAACTATATGTTAGTACACGCAAAACAAATTGAATATTGTAACCTGAGAATTTTGAAAAATTATGAATGTCACAATCACTAACCATGTTCCATATAAGTGATCACAATTTAGAAGTTGTTATACAAAAATAATTCCTAGATCTAAGAACTTGTAAAATTTGGAAGGTATTTAAATGATGAAATGCGATTTTCCCTTCACTCTCCTACCAGTAATAATATGAGAAATTATTTAATTCAGAAAATTGAGAAATATATTGATTTTAACCAGCCCAACTATTCTCAAGGTAAAGAATTATCACTAAATCCCAATAAAAGATATATAGCTCAGTGTTGTTGCTCTATATAAAGCATCTTCATAAAAGTAAAAGTATTTTCAATAATGTATGTTATTTAAATAACAAATGTTTCATTATTAAATGTATTTCCGCCATTTCCGTTAAATAGCTTTGTTTAAACACATCATGTAAAATGATATGGTGGACATTTTCTTGTTTACTCTACCGCAAGTGAACTCCTTATACTAATTGCTAAAAGCATAACCTCTCTGTTTTAAGTGCTGAAATAAAAATATCACTTAGTTATGGTTTTGGAATACAATTAGTGAATGCATATCAACAAATATGCATTCGTTGCAGAAAAAGCTTTACATGTCACTGAACAACAATAGACAAGATAATTATTTACAATGTATGAAAATGTAATTTTACATTCAGAGCATTGTGTTTATAATGTATTTTGATTTCTTACCTTTGCAGCCAACTGTATGCAAGTAAGAGTAATGTTAAAATCGAGGGAAAAGTTCGAAATTTTTCAACTTAGGTTTTCCTGTTTACAAAATTCAGCATAGCGTCCTGGATTTTAGGTCAATGTCAAAAAAGTAGTCCTTGACAACGATATTATAAGAAAGTTGATATAATTTTTGTTTTGTTATGTTTAAATTTATTTCATTTATTTATGCAATATTTAAAAATGCACTCTTCTTTTTTAAAAGATCTAATGTAGTGTAATTTCCATTATAGTATTTCGATAACATCAATCGACATATGTAGGTTAAAGTGGGGAACGAATAAAAAAAGTTCAAATTATATTTGACAAATACATAATAATTCATTTAGGTTCAGTCAACAAGTCATTAAGATCAGCAATATATTTCTTACAATAATGCAAATAAGTGGGAATATGTTAAGGGGATGATCTAAGGAAAAGACAAAATGACAATGATCAGTTCAAAAGGCAAAATAAAACGATTCAGCAACATAAAGTCTCTTCAGCGAGGCTAATTCAAAACTTTGTTTTCATTGGCACTTGATATTGTTTTTGCAAGATATATAAAGAAGAAAAAACAAGATACTAGAAATATATATTTGCAAAAGCTTTATATAGAATAACATTTCTTGATTTTTTTTTATACTGACTGCATCAGCAAGAACATCAACCGAGCCTGCTATGGCGAGTTTATATTCGAGTTGGTGAAGAAATTCGCATGTCTTTATATAGCGTAGAGCATGTGCAAACCAATATCTGTATTTAAAATCAATAGAAATAGTCAAATAATTACCAAATAGCATTTGGAAATAGGGTTAATATATGTGCACTGTATCGTAGATATCCTTCATCTCTCCCACAAAAAGTGAAACAACTAAAAAGCAAGAAAACAAAACTACACTTGCGAGGATGCAATATCTTATTAAACTTTCAACATTATCGTTCATCAGCGAGTATAAGCGAGTCTACATGTACTGTTTTCTATCACTTAACAACTCGATCATAAAAAAGTCAAAAAGTATATTTTAACTAAACGCATTTGACTAGCCGGTCGAACAACGGATGTTCTTACACCCTGCTGACTGCCATGGCGATTGCCAAATAAACGGATCACCAGATGTAATTATTAATTTAATACCAAACAGAAAACAATAAACTTGCGAAAAAGATGGTATACCACAAACATCAGGTGCAAAAATGTGTACACCATATCCGGATTTCCACAATTAATGTCTCTTCAGTGATGTTAGGAATCGAAACGGTATTTGGAAGGCCATATAGTTTACCTCAATTTGGGATTGACTCTTGAATTTTGAAGAGTCGAAATAGAATGAACGGATCATATAAACCCGAAGGCTAATATAATACAAGCCCAAACGAAAAATAATAAACAAGTCTAAATTGAAAACAACGTTCAAACCTATGAATGCGTTGGATAAAAACAGCAATTTTTATACGTGTGCATGCAAAACAAATGTCTTGATAGAGGGGTCTAAATACAGCACAAACAACATTTTCCAAAAGACCAAAAAAAGTGAAAAAGTATATTTTTACAAAACGCATTTGACTAGCAGGTCGAACAACGGATGTTCTTAAACCCTGCTGACTGCCATGGCGATTGCCAAATAAACGGATCACCAGATGTAAAAATGGATCTTAATTATTAATTTAATACCAAACAGAAAACAATAAACTTGCGGAAAAGATGGTATACCGCAAACATTAGGTGCAAAAATTTGTACACCATATCCAGATTTCGACAATAAATGTCATTTCAGTGATGTTAGGAATCGAAACGGTATTTGGAAGGCCATATAATTTACCTCAATTTGGGATTGACTCTTGAAATTTGAAGAGTCAAAATAGGATGAACGGATCATATAAACCCGAAGGCTAATGTAATACAAGCCCAAACGAAAAAATATAAACAAGTCTTAATTGTAAACAACGTTCAAACCTATGGTTGCGTTGGATAAAAACCGCAATTTTTATACGTGTGCATGCAAAACAAATTTCTTGGTAGAGTGGTCTAAATACAGCACAAACAACATTTTACAAAAGACCAATAAAAGTGAAAAAGTATATTTTAACAAAACGCATTTGACTAGCAGGTCGAACAACGAATGTTCTTAAGCCCTGCTGACTGCCATGGCGATTGCCAAATAAACGGATCACCAGATGTAAAAATGGATCTTAATTATTAATTTAATACCAAACAGAAAACAATAAACTTGCGGAAAAGATGGTATACCGCAAACATGAGGTGCAAAAATGTGTACACCATATCCGGATTTCGACAATTAATGTCTCTTCAGTGATGTTAGGAATCGAAACGGTATTTGGAAGGCCATATAATTTACCTCAATTTGGGATTGACTCTTGAATTTTGTAGAGTCGAAATAGGATGAACGGATCATATAAACACGAAGGCAAATATAATACAAGCCCAAACGAAAAAATATAAACAAGTCTAAATTGAAAAGCCCAAACCTATGATTGCGTTGGATAAAAACCGCAATATATAGGGGTAATCAGCCAGTAGAAAAAAAATTGAAGCTGGTACTCCAGGAGTGTATGCGCATAGCAACATTTTAAACCAATTTTACATCAAGATCATATAGTCTGTTGTACTCGTCGTTTGCTATTTAAGGAGGGAAATGATAACATTAAATGAAAGTTTTGTTTTTATTTCAACTTATTTCTATTTACTAGTATACTTTTTTACCAAAACGTTTTTTTCCCCGTGAATTTATAATTGATAGCGTCCTTGCTAAAACGGGACAAACATTGAAAAGATGTAGTTTTCATGGTTTACAGGGGAGGTAATATTTTGTCACTAGATTTCCTACTGGACACGATCCCGATAAATGAAGTTATATACGACATCATTGAGGCAAACTTTAATCAGTTGTTGAATAAACCTCGATTAATACAGACTTCCCGATAATATTTCATATGTATATTAGATAATATGTCAATTTCTACGAATATTACGCAATTAGACCATAGCAAGATTCTCCAAATATCACGATCCCGATAGAGGGCCACAGAAATATTAGCAAATCTTCTAAAAATGCAAGGCAATGAAAACAAAAGAGGAATTCAGTAAAACTACCAACCAATCAATCAGATTACTTGAAATCCAATTAATCATGAATTTTCAACAATACGTCAATAATGTATGGAAACGTTTCAATGTAATCAAAATTTAGAAAAGACAATATATCTTGTAGTTTTATTTAAAATTTACATAATTATACATCTTTATTTTACAATTTAAATATACACAAAATAATGAGGCTATCACATATGGATATACAACTCAAAGTAAATTCAATCTTCATCGACACAGAGAAAACGCGCCTTATGGATCATTTTTAGGGAGACAATAACGAAAAAAAATGAACACTGCTTTCTACAGTTTTTATTTTGTTCTACTCGTTCAACTTCATTGTCATTTGCGTATTATGTACCATGCGTTAGCCCGATTGGGTGTATATTGTGTCTTAAGTTCGTTTGTTAGTTGTTCTTGAGTGCGTTGTGTTGATCTGATGAGTCAAGCAATTTTCAACTGATTTTTCTAGTTTGTCTTATGTTGTGGTGTTACAACACTTCCAATGATATTTGGTTGAGCGCTGGCAAACATGTCAAACCCCGCCACAATCTGTATGTGCCTGTTCCACGCCAGGAGACTGTAATGCTGTGGTTGTCATTTTGTTACTGTATATCATATTTGTTTTTCGTTTATTGTTTTGAACATAAATCAAGCAGTTAGTTTTCTCGTTTGAACTGTTTCACATATATTATGTCGGGGCCTTTCATAGCTTGCTATGCGGTATATATTTTGCTCATTATTGAAGGCTTTATGATGAACTGTAGTTTCTAACTTCTATTTCATTTGGTCTCTGGTGGAAAGTTATCTTATTGGCAATCATGTCACATAAATATTCTCATTGGACATGATATCAAATCAATTAAATCAAATCTAAAATGATAACGTCTCAAAATAAAAAATTCCATTATTTTATAACTCTCTTTGCATGTAATTTAATGCAAATTTTTTTTATCATTTATAAAACATGAAATTGGTTCACCCTGTCATAACTTTGCATGACCATCCCCATAAACACGTGTATATTTGCATAGAAGTATTATCATGTATCAGCTAAGCCTCCAGGTTTTGGCAATTAAACAAGAAAAAGACAATACAGAGATTTATATTGCCATACAAAAGCAGTGGTAAGGCACCAATTTGGTGACAGAAAAATAGAGGCAATTAAAATTTCATTTCAAATCCAAAAACTATTAAACATCTTCTAAAAGTGTTACTGCATCTGAAAAATTTGAGATAATGACACTATTTCTGTTTTATCAAAAATAATTGCTCTTTTTGGAACAAGTGAAAGGATAATATGATTATTTATTACTTCTGTGTAAATCAGATTTAGTCGTCTCATATCTTCGGGACTAACACCCCTCAGATGTGAGAAGCCTACATCTAATATATACATGTAGTTACCACTTGCCTATCTGTATCGGAAATGTTGTATTGCCATAATTGGCAATTTGTATTTCAATGTTGTATTTAAAGTCATCACTTCGCTGTTTCTCAATGTTCACGAAATTTCCACATGATGTATAATAGTTAGTTCGTACCTATATATTCAGAATGAAAATATTACACAGTAAAGTGCAAAATTCTCCTTATTTTTTTTTTATGAATAACACACATATATCATAATCATGTTGTGTGAAAGAAATAAATTGGAAAAAGTAGACTGTTGTATATTTTTTCGTAACAAACTGCAGATAATGCAGAATTTTTTCCCCAGAAAACACGAGAGAAACATATGAGACATTATTTATTTTTCCTGTTACAATTAATTGTAGCATAATCCACTTATCATTTTTTTTTTATGTTGGGGGAATGTGTTTTCTTTTTTCTTTTTAATATCAATCAAGAACAAACTATTTTTTTTGATAATTGAAAGGAACAGGATTATACTTTAAAGAAATCTTAGGTTTTTTTGTTGTTTTTTTTTTTGTTGTTTATCAATTTTCAATGTATAAAACAAAGTATTTTTCACTTCCCTTCTGGAACAAATTAAAATCTAAAAAAAAATAGAAATAAGATATGCATTCATATAACAAAATTTAATTGGTCTGTGTCTACGGTTTACTTGCTGGCGAGTAGTTCCAACCAACAAAGTGTATTGTTGTGACGACATCGAATAGCGGTTGGGGTAGTGTGGGGTGGGTGGTCGTCAGTTTAGAAATATGTCCCTAGGAGGTCGTTGTGTGCTTTGTAAGAGTAAAATGTGGTTGCCGACAAATCTAAGTGTTTGGTTAATTTGATCCAATTCTCTCTGCTGATAAATATTTACCGTTCCCTTATCAAGCTCTACAAAAAATATTGAACCATACTTTTATAAATTCCTTTATGTTTCGACAAAACATTTGTTCATCAAACATTATTTTTTTCTAAAAAGTTGGTAGGCAACTTGCTAGATAAATCTTAATTTGTCTTGAAAAATTTATCCAAATACTGTTTAGAGATAAAAAATATTGTACTCAAACATTTACTGCAAAAAACATTAAACAAAGTGCAAACTAATAGGAAAGGATTTAAGTTAGATAAGTATCTAGTTGGTTAACCAGACTGAGTAAAGTTTTATTGTTTTATCAAAAAAAGTCATCTGCAAAGACCATGTGACGAAGGCTATCTTCAAGTCAACACATATCTCATAAATATTATCAGTTATCTTATTCGCATAAAAAACAAGTGCTGGACTTCTCAAACTTACTTCATTTTGTATAGGACACAATGAAGGCTGTCCTACATCTTGGAAGATGAAGTTCCGATTTAATTATGATGCAAAATCATCAAGCGATTTCAAGATAATTGCTTTTGTATGGGGAGGCGACACTAAATTGAGATATGGTTTCCACGTCAAGAAAACACAGTAACCGAACAACTAAACAAGGCTAAATAGCTAATTAATGTTTGTAAAGCTTTCGGGTATATATTTTGTGGGATCCTGTAAACAGCTTGTGTATAATTGGATAGAGAATCATTTTAAATGTCAAAGTGTTCTAAAAGTATTACAAGTCTGATTATTCAATGCTCTGCTATAATTCAAAATTCCACTCGATATATGTTCATTTTTAGAAACAACCCGAAACTACAATTCGACTTTAAACATACCGGTACTTTAGAAGTTTAATTGAATTATTTCCCTGGTTTACTTCCGTATAATCTGTTTTATTTTTCTGTTTGTGGTCGAATCAATCTTCCAATTAATATGATTGTTTGGACATCGTTTGTCATCTGTCACAATCCCATTATATTTTTTTTACTTTTTGTTGTTTTTTAGAAGCCTAATATTATTGGTAGGTAATGTTGATTTGTTTGTTTCATTTCTGTGTTTTAGGACTGCATGTAGCCGAAAACTGTCCCTAGGATTAGTGTATAAAAACGTCTGTTTGAATAATTCAGACCAACTGTCTATTTTGAATTGGTTATACTCTTGGTCGTTGGGTAGCTGCATCGGTCTTCGGCTTTCACTCCATACCAATAGATCAAGCCTCATACAAATAATTGATAAAAGACGTGTTATTAATCCTGTTGTATTACATCCTTAATTTCTGGTATCCTCAAATAGCAAAAATTACCAAATTATAAGATTATACTGGTGTGTTTACTGTCGTCAAGTAATTAAGGTAGATTGGGTGTCTAAATTATAATCCATAGAATTTTTTAATAATTTGTCAAAATGTAGTTTATATCATGCTTTTTTTTTTTTAAATAATAAAAAGAATGGGTCACGGGGCTGATTTTCACGCTACAGGTTGTGCAAAATTGACAGATTTTGTATAGATTATGCATGGAAAACGCAATTTTCTGCCATAAAACGAAAACTACACCATAGAATTTTGAGATAAAATATGAGAAGATAGCTCTAATATTATACTTTCAGATAAGAAAAAGAAAAAATGGGGCCACCGGGCCCGTTTTCTTGCTACATAATAAAATAGATAAATTCCTAACACATTCTATTGTAAAAGTAACTTTATCTGAATTATCTGCCCTTACATTTGAGTTGCATCCCCTTATGTGGCAAAGTTGGAAAAAATTGAATTAAACAAAAGTATTCTGTTTTTTGTAAAATACAACCATAAATATAATAAAACATGTCATTTTCTATATCAAAATGAAAATTCTTACACATGAATTACCCACTACTCTCAAAATTTGCACATTTTATTAAAGGTCTAGACCGATTATTTTCTGGTATTTCAAAATCCAAGATGGAGGAAGACACCCTATCTACCTTAAGGCTGTGTTCATATTGAACTAAACTCGGTGTTGTATTGGTATCCTCAACACGTAAGACTTTAATATGTTTCCATTGATGAAATACACTGTTAACATATAGTTTAATTAAATCAGGTTTTGATTACATGCATTCTCGAGTCAATGTAGGTCTTATACGGGTTAAGTATGCATACAACTCTATTCAGAACGTGAATTTCATTAGGAATATTTAAGGGAAGAACATCTATTGAATGTTTACAAACAAAAACGTTCAAGTAGACTCATTAACCCCAGTTATAGACATTATACACATCATTCACTTGAAAATTCTTATCGAATTTAGTGGACGCATTCAGAAACTGAGGCATTAATAGATTTATGGCAGTAGAATCATGGACAGGAACAATTTAATGGTATTTACAGGTCTATTTTCACGTGTCGAGGTATAACTAGATCTAGCAATCAACAGATGCCAAAAAAAGCACAACATCGTGAATTCCTCTCTCTATTTGCTAAATCGTCGATGCTGCAGGCGGGGTTCCATTGTTACATTGGGTTTTCTTACCAGTTTTCATAATTCATCATGCATTTCTGTATTTTCTTTTTTTGGAAATTTGGTGGTTGATTTTTGATACATTTTATATAAAGATTCAAAACATATAAGGATTTGGTATACAGAGGTCAACCTTATGACATTTTGAGCCCAGGTCCGATACGGTAGTTTGTTGTAAAAACAAAACTGCAGAAGATCTGATGTTGGTCGAGAAATACCAAACCCGGTCTGGAATATGCTATGTTAAAATCCATTATAAATAACATCGATCTTTTTGACATTGAATTTTGTTTTTTCCTTAATCCATCTAGATTCTAAACTTATTTCAAAGGATGCAACTTCTGATTTTTTATTACTATATTTTCCCTTCTACTTTCCAAGGCGAAACATTATTAGATCTTCTAACAGCTTTAATTAATCTTTTACCGTTTTATATTTGGTTACAACGCATATATAACTTGTTAGAAGGTTGTGTTTAAGCCGGAAAAGCTTGTTAGGAATGATTAATATAATTAAATCTTAATTAAACTTATTGTTACCAAAATTATTAATAATATGCATAATTAAAATTCATGTTGTGTCTCCTTATTATTACACAATTCCGTCATTTGTTTTATTTATAGCCATATATTACCCCTTTGACAGTATGCTTTGGTCTAGCTCCGTGATGAAAGGTGACAGTGTAATGACAAGCAATGTGCATTTTAAATCGGTGTGTGTAGAAACAGACAGTGCAGGAGTTAGCTCACAGACTGATAGCACGTGGTATGTTTGTATGCTGAAAAAGACAAAGGTATGTTTTTTTCAATCTGTTTCCATTTTGTTTCAAATGTTTTTACATTCTAAACTTACTTCCAGAGAAAAGGTAGTACTAAGTATAATGATTTTAGAACTGATTTTTCGTTTATCAAGAGTTGGCAAGATAAAACGGAAATTATTCATTGTCAAAATAATACAGAGTTATATTTCCATCACATGATAGTTATTTTTCCCATGATCTACGGTCTTCTTATACGGTTCATCACCAGCATTTGTAACAGAGTGCTGAGCCTTTTCTTCTTTCCTGATGTCTGGGTGGGTAATGTCTGGATTTGTAAACAATTTCATTTTCCTCTTTAGCTTTACAATGTATGGGGTATAAATCTAGCTGTTTACTCATAATCGTATTCCGTATAAATTCACTTGGTATTTTGAACTTGGTTATTACTAAAATTCGAAGGAATCTTTGTAGCTAATTTTCAAACAATTAACTGCTAGATTAAGATTTCAAATGCAAATACAACACATTTCTTAAGAATTCATCGAAACTCAAAACTGTTTTTTTTTTCACAATGGTCAACAACACTATGAGGAGAAGAAACTGCTTGCGACTAGAATGTTGCATCTAATTTCACCTCCAATATAGTTTAGGGTTAACCTCATATTTAGTATAACCTTGTTCTGCTTGTTTAATTGTTTCTACCTTTATTAATTCTTTCGTCTATTTCTTGCTGTTGAAATAGATTTTTTTATAATGTACGCTTTCATTCATAAAGTTGTAATAATGACATTGTCGTAAATCTAAATGTTTTGTAAACATGAACAAAGGTGAATAACATTTCTAAGTTTTCTGGAATGCATCACGACTTTGTTGTTATATTATCTATTAGCATTTTTTGTTTGAACGATCCACTTAATACTATTTTGAGTATTTTAATAAAGCGCATTTGAAGGAAAACGTATAAGTTGTATAATTATCAATGAGACAACTATCCATCTGAAACTAAAGGATGAGGATGCCTTTAAACCAAATACCGAATTAGACTTATCACCGGGTTTGTACTTATATGAGCAACACGACGTGTGCCACATGTGGAGCATAATCTGTGTACCATTCCAGAGCAACTGCGTTGGTGGGGTTCGTGTTGCTCAGTCTTTCGTTTTTCATTTTGTGCTTTGTATACTGTTGTTTGTCTTTTGATCATTTTTTGTCATGACATTGTCAGTTCGTTTTCGATTTCTGAGTTTTATTATCCCTTTGGTTTGTTTCGTCTCTCTTTTAAACAATATTATTTCTCCATTCTTTTAATTCTCCGTTGATAAGTGTAAACATTATTCAGAAACTAAGTTCCAACTCCCTCAGGCAATGTTGAAATTAATGAATTTAAATTAGCTATCATCTTTACGTCCCTTTAAGTCAGCAAGCTCCTCACGTATTCTATACATCCGGGGCTTTCAAATCTTTTGGTTTGAACATTCCAGATATAGGTAAATCCAGAAAAGTGCTTCAGACGTACCAAATTTATAACGTGTTATTGTCATTTGATCTTTTATTTGAACCTAGAATATGACTTGCTGTAACGATATTGTCCTAGAATATGACTTACTGTAACGATATTGTCCTAGAATATGACTTGCTGTAACGATATTGTCCTAGAATATGACTTGTTGTAACGATATTGTCCTAGAATATGACTTGCTGTAACGATATTGTCCTAGAATATGACTTGCTGTAACGATATTGTTAGTTGAAGGAGAACACGATTGGTATCATTACATATATAAGATACAAAGACAATTTGTCATTTTGGAATTATCAATTTTTAACGACAATGGCGAAAATGAAAAACTATAAACGGCATGATAATCTTCAAAGAGGTAAAAATTTCCCCTGTGTTTATTACACACCAGGGCCATTTTCTTAAAGTCCTTCAATGTTTGCTAAAATTACCATTATTATAGATTATGCCCAGGGGCGTAGCTGCCGTTAGACACTTTAGGCACGTGCCTACGCATAATTTTTTCACAAATATTTTTTTTTCATAAAAACAAAAATAGTGACAACGTTATCTGTAGATGCACATGAAGTCGTCAAAACTCTTTAATTATCAAATGTCATTTATACAATAGTCTATCATCCTTAGTGAATGGAGTATTGGATAGAATTGTATGTAAATTATGTTAGAGCTTTGGTTCAGATCATTTCACTTCTATCAACAAATACATGAATGAACCTTAACATGCTCAAAACCATGACATTTTATTCTTAGATGCATGATTTTTGTATAAGTTGTTGTTGGCTTTCAACTAGCTTTCCACTTGGTTTTCATCCGACCTACACTAAAACCCTTGCCAAGCGGGGCGTCCGTTTGGCTGTGCGGGATGTATAAATACGCAGTCACGTCTGGACAGAATGTGGGCGTCAAATCCTATGCCTAGTGTAAAGAGAATGTCACGCTCTATGCACGTTAAGAACACTTGCAACAACTCATTGAAGGGTTCGTAGGTGTTCTGCTGAAAGGCAAAATGTCTGTCCCTATCCAATAAACCCTCAATTTCCAATGGCATTTCCAAATTTCCAGACCTTCATCCTGGACGACTCCTATTACAGGATCTACCTGTTGTATTAATTGTAAATTTGTTTTTGTCCTGAACATGCATGGACTGTTTGCCACTGGACGTTTAGCAATCAATTAATCAATCAACTAGCATTCAGTAACTTCCAGTACTCTCAGATCAACGTGTAATGACCATAATTATTCAAATTCCTTAGGTAGGAATTTAACAGTACAGGATATCAGAAAATATGAACTTCTTGAATTTTGTTAGATAGTATGAACAGAACAGAACTTCTGGCTTTATTAGGCATCGACTGTGTGTGTGTATGTGTTTGTGTGGCCGGGGAGAGTAAAGGTTTAAGAATCAAAAGATGAATGGTCGATGCCTAGCTTAAAGGATAGTATTATTATATAGTAGTCTCAGTGTTTACGTGCATATTTTTTTAATGAAGGATCGTCAAAATGTACTATCTATTGACGTATATATATATATATATATATATATATATCAATTATCCTCAATCAAAAAGGAATAGATATGAAATAACTAAGCAGGATGTACTGCTTGATTTAAGGGCTACGCTGATCTACGCTGGACAATGCATATTGTAAATATATATTTTTTTTAGATTTCCGATTGTACTGCGTAAATTCATCAGTCAGATGTTATTGTAAAATTATTTATAATTCTTTGAACTTTTCTTCATGTATACTATGATAAAATTACCATAAAATTTTATGTTTTTGTACACAAAATTTTGCAACCAAAAATGATGAAAACGTTTTCCGTCGGTGGGCTTCGCCCCCCCCCCCCCCCCCCCCCGAGCCAGGATTCTTCCCTGGACATGCTGAGGTCTTGAGTAGCCCCAGACCCCCTGCCGCAATTTGTGTCTACAGTTTATTGGATACCTAACTACGCCCCTGATGCCTACTTCAAAATGTTAACAACATTTTGGATAGTTAACGAACAAAAATTTATGAATGCTTACAGGTGACATGAAACTGCTTTTTTGAAAGATTTTGCCCACAAAAATTTAGTTATTATGAAAAAAGTATAGGAAGAATATATTTAACTAAAACCAAATGTCAATTAGGAATAGTTTTACTATTTGTTTTTCAGATAAAAAAAAAATATGTATATATTGTCCTTCGATGCAGAATTTTACAAAATCATGTAAAATTTGCAAAATTGTCCTGAACAGCAATACGCAGCGATAAATAAAATTTTGACTTTATTCAAGAATGTGAACATTTGGAAAATTCGTTTAAGTGTATTATATATACAGACTCTATACTACTGTAATTCAGAAGGATTTAACAACTTTCTTATGTGTGCATGTGAGTGAAACACGTACATGGGAAATTTGCCAGATTTCTTTTTCTTTAAAACAAAAATAAGTTAGTACTTGTACAATTATGTTAATATAACTCATTCATCAGTTGAAATAAAACTTACGTTTATACAATTTGACTTCTAAAATCATGTTTTCAATAAAAAGCTTTAAAGTACTGTCTTACTCTGCAGTGTTCTGTTCCGATGGTATAGCCCAGTAAATAAATAACAATGATGTTGTGCATGCTTTTTTGGAAAGATGATAACCCATCGAAAGTGTAAGTTTAAGTTCTTTAAAATGATTTATATCTAATCAATCTTTCGCAATCATCATCAATGAGTTTTCTAGTACAACGGATATTGCAGACAGTGTACTGCATATTGCAATAAGTGAACCGTCAATCGCGATAACAGAAGCGAGTGATAAAGGAATGCACCTAGATTCTGGTAATGATTTTGGCATTACATATTGTTTAATTTTACAAACTATATTAGAGTATGTTTTGCAAAACGGTAAGAGATATCGTCCAAAATTACCACAAATTTGTTTTTTTGGAATCAAGTAAAAGTGCAAATATGCATACAACGAACTATAAGAAAACACCAAACGTTAATAGATTCATTTATATCTATCGCTCTGTTTAATGTATTAATAAAAATGCTTTATAATAAGTACATTCTTTTAAAAAAACGCAATGTTCTGAAAATTGGTATTTTAAATGTACAGCATATTGCATGAATTTCAAATATAGTGTACTGCAAATTGTAAAACATAAACGCTCGTTGAATGTATACTGAGAGGCATTCCACCTGAATTAATATACTTAATTGCAGAGGTAAATCAAACGATAGAAATCAGTCGGGGAAGGTATTCTGTTATAGTTTTAGGTCCGGTTTAGGGGAATGTGGTCACAGAGGCATTCTTTGATTCATTTTTGCTGTTTAAAAAAACTTTAAAACTCATCTGTTACCAGATTGAATGGTGTCAAACATACCCCTCTTCCTATAGTAAGGAAAATAAACGACTATAATACAGAATAATACGCTAATAGGGACAACAGATATTGCTTACATTACAGCAGTACTACAGACCACATCAAACAAAGACATCAAACTCATTCGAAAACAGACATAGCGCACACA